CAGCGTGTGCCCGTGTGTGCGCCCCTGGCTGGTGCCCCGTAGGGCCGGGGGGGCTCCTGCCACCTTGTGCGTGACGGGATGTGTGTGGACGGGAGCTGAGGCACAGGGCAGGGGCGAGGGATGGCCCCTCTGAATGAATGAATTCAAGGAGCCTTGTGCGTGACCAGTGTCATGCAGGAGGTCAGACTAGATCAGTGGTCCCCAACCTTTCTGTTGCAATAGCATATTCATGTTCCCAGAAGAGCATGGCGGGCACCGGATGACCAGCTGCCGAAATGCCGCCGAGAAGCGGCGTCATCGAGAAGCGGCGCTGCCGAAATGCCGCTGCTTCTCGGCGGCATTTTGGTGGCGACGCTTCTCGGCGGCATTTTGGTGGCTGGTTGTCCGGCGGCTGCGCTCCTCGGCGGCGGGTTGTCCGGCAGAAGCGCTCCCTTGTCAGTAGGCGGGCGCACATAAATGCCCTGGGGGGCACCATGGCACCCGCGGGCACCGCGTTGGGGACCACTGGACTAGATGATCACAGTGGTCCCTTCTGGCCTTAGAGTCTATGAATCCTGCTCCCCGTGTCTCTTAGTGGCCGTACTGCCAGAAACGCTGCAGCTACTGCAACTTCAACAAGTACATCCCCCGGGGCCTAGACGAGGAGTCCATGAGGAGCTGTCTCACTCGGGAAGCCCAGACCCTGATCCGCCTCAGCCAGGTCCAGAGGTGGGTCCTGCGGCAAGAAAAGGGAGAGTGGCGGTTGGGGGAAGGGGAGGTAGTGTGGTTCCTTGTGGCTTTACACCAGAGCCCTAACAGCAACCAGGGAAAGGCATGTGAAAAGGTTGTGAAATCTGCCCTGCTATATTCCACAAAGGCTGCGCTGGCCTCTAGCTTTGAACCCGACGCGGAGCTGCTGGGGGCTGGGCGTGGCTTCTTTGACACTGTTCCCCTTTCCTGCTGTGGCAGGAGCTGAAGCTGGGCCATTGCACTAGGGGTCCATTGAGGTACGAGGGTGGGGACGTCCTGCCTGAAAGCAGGTGTCCCCTGGGGCGTGAGAGGAGGATTCCTCCACTGCAGTGAGTCTGGAGATCACCTGCCCAGCAGCCCATTCACCCTGTGAGACTCCGGGCCTCTCTCCCCTCTGCTCGGCAGGATCAGCTCGGTGTTCTTCGGCGGGGGCACCCCGAGCCTGGCGAGCCCATTCACCATCGCTACTGTCCTGGAGACCGTCTCCCGCTGCGCCCACTTGGCGGCGGACGCTGAGATCACTCTGGAAGCCAATCCCACCTCGGCAGGTGCCTCGCGGCTGGCGGGATTCCGGGCGTCGGGCGTCAATCGCCTCTCCATCGGCATCCAGGTGAGAGAGCAGGAGATTTGCCCTCCTTATCCCTCAGGCACGTTTCCCCTCCTGCCCCCCCTGCTCCTCTCTCAGGGACACTCTCTATCTTCTCCCACAGGCTCCTGCTCTATCTCGCTCCCTCCTTCACTCTCTTTCTCCCTCTCGCTGTCTCCTCACGTGCCCTTCTCATCCCTCTCTGGGGCCTCCCTGTGCTCCCACCCCCAATCCTCTCTATACCAGGCAGCCTAAAGCACCTCGCCGCCGGTCAATCTTGTTCTTTGCAGTCCCTGGACAATGCGGAGCTGAGGCTCCTTGGGAGGAACCACACAGCTGATGAGGCTCTGGGGACCTTGGAAGAGGCAAAGAAGCTGTTTCCCGGCCGCACGTCCGTTGACCTCATCTTTGGCCTCCCCGGCCAGAGTGTTTCCTCGTGGGCCGGGGGGTTAGAAGAGCTGCTTCAGCTGTGTGATGACCATGTGTCTCTGTACCAGCTGACGCTGGAGAGGGGCACCTCCCTCTTCAAGCAGGTCCAGCGGGGCTCTCTGCCCGTGCCCAAGCAGGAGGTGGTGGCGGAGATGTATGAATCTGCGCGGGAGATGCTGCGGGACGTGGGATTCCGGCAGTACGAGGTCTCCAATTTTGCCAGGAATGTGAGTCCCTCCCCTCGGCCTGTCCCTTTTGCGGTGTGTCCCGGATCTAAGCGGGGGAGAATAAACCCAAATAATTCAGAATTCAACTGGTGAGAGGATCTGAGCTCCCCAAGCAGGGGACATGTGCCGGGGTGAGATGTGGGGGAGCAGACGTGGGCCCGGGGGAACTCTCTCTGGATGTCGGGAGTGGGGACGAGTGCTGAGCATACCCTCTGCTAGCAATGTGTGCTGAGATTCCCTCTCAGCAGGGAGCCGGGGTGGGCAAGGAAGCTGGACTGTCTTCTCAGCCCAGGAGAGAGCTGGGAAGCCAAGCACTGAAAGAGGAAGCCCTGCTTACTCTGCACGCTGTGAGGAAGACAAACCCAGAACCTCACATGATGGGCCTGATCCTGCTAGGTGCTGAGCACCTGCGAGTCCCGTTGAGTCCAATAGGGAGTCACCTTGCCGAAAGCCTTGAGCATCTTGCAGGAATGGGTCCAAAGAGATTTGATTCCTTTTCCTGGCTTACTGTGTGTCGTTTTCTCCTGCAGGGGGCGCTCAGTACCCACAACCTGTCCTATTGGCAAGGCAGCCAGTACATAGGGATCGGGCCAGGTGAGTTCCCTGGGAAAGTGAGAGGCACACGGGATCTCACCAGATGGGGCTGTGTACAGGGCTACAAAGCAGCCTCTCTACTGGGGTCCAGTTGACCTCTACAAGGAGCTGCTGTGAGGAAGCTCATCCTCCCAGGGTTCTGTTGCAGGGCCCTGGGTGATGACTGACCCTTGCAGGCACCACCTTACGCCCCCCAGCAGCCCCATGGCTCTGACCCAAGGGGCAGTGCTGCTCTGGGGGTGATGAACTCCAGCGGGGAAGGGATGCTGCAGAAATGCCTGTCTTTATCCTAGGAGCTCATGGGAGGTTTGTGCCGCGAGCACATGGCGAGAGCCTTCGGGAAGCCAGGATACAGACCCTGGAGCCGGACAGCTGGATGAAGGAGGTGCTGGCCTGCGGACACGGGACCCGGAAGCGGACTGTGCTGAGCCAGCTGGAGGTGTGAGTATTGGGGCAGGGCCAACAGTCAGCTCACCCCAGGTGGTGTCTGACGCCTCCTCTTCAGCATCTTGGTGCATGTGGCCTTTCCTGCAAGCTACTGAGATACAATAACCTGGGTGCGGGTCACTTGCCGGGACTGTCTGGGTATATCTCACCATCACTTCCCTGCCTTTGCGGGGCCTCGAGCATTGATGCACCTCGGTCCTGCCCGTTCTCTGCCTGTGGCACATATTGGGTCTCCTGTGGACTGTGAGACTTTGGGCTAGTTTTGGTTGTTGGGTTTAGTGTGCGGCTGCTGGGTGCTGGTGGTGGCCTGTGACATGCAGGAGGTCAGGCTAGATGATCTGGTGCTCCCTTCTGGCCTTAAACTCTATGATTCTAACCGAGCGGGAGCCCGATCCTGCCGTTCTCCTGCTGGCTAAAGTATGAAAGATGGTGGGAGCTTTGCCAGCAGAGCTGCAGTCTCAGGCCCTTGAAGGAGAACAATGTGGACAGCCGTTTCCCACCTGCACTCAGGTGCTCCCCTTTGCCTTCCTTGCACCTTCAGCCCCAGATGCAGGATGCCTTCTGGAGCCCCATAGAGACCCCGCAGCCCTCCAGCATCGCTCTTTGTGTTATAGGTTGGAGGAGGTGTTGGTCCTCGGGCTCCGCACGGACATCGGAATCACACACCAGGTGAGAGCTGGCTCTCGGTTGTAGCAGCCTGCCCTGGCGGGGGTTGAACTCTCAGAGCATGGTGTTCGCAGCTGGCAGTGGACAGGGCCGCCAAGAGGAACCATTTCCAAGGAGAGCTCTGGTCAAGTGCTGCGTGTGGACTGGCTCAGCAAGGAGTGGTCTGTTCTCTGTTGGGATTCTGAGCAGCTCTGGAACTCTCCCAGGGATTCTCTTAGTCTGAATTGCCAAGGTGTCACCCCCCTGGCCCAGTACTGCTGCTCTCGGCTGAAGGCCCCAAGGGGCAGATATTTAAAGGTATTTAGGTGCCTACAGATGCAGATAGGCATTTGAAATCAAAGGGAGTTATGCACCTGGTAGCTTTTGAAAATCCCATGAAGTGCCTAAATGCCTTTGAAAGTTTGGCCCAAGGTCATCAAGTCCAAATGGTGAATTCAGTAATTCCACAAACCTTTACAGTCAGGATACAGGTCCCGGTCCCAGTCACATGCGGTAGGACAGGATTTGATTGTATGTGGCACCTTTGATATTGCAATCTCATGCTTGGATCACACACTGCTGGGCCCAGTATACAAAGTCCAGTAGAACCTCAGAGTTACGAACACCAGAGTTACGAACTGACCGGTCAACCACACACCGCATTTGGAACCGGAAGTATGCAACCAGGCAGCAGCAGAGACAAAAAACAGTACAGCACTGTGGTTAAACATAAACTACTAACAAAATAAGGGAAAGCAGCATTTTTCTTCTGGATAGTAAAGTGTCAAAGCTGTATTAAGTCAATGTTCAGTTGTAAACTTTTGAAAGAACAACCAGAACATTTTGTTCAGTTATGAACATTTCCGAGCTATGAACAACCTCCATTCCGGAGGGGTTCGTAAGTCTGAGGGTCGACTGGAAATGCAGTTTACCATAATAGATGCTGACAGTGCAGTGATCGTGAACCGTCGTGTGTTTAGCAGCTGCTCTCGCACGGTTGGATGGTAGAAACTGTTCATTGGCCAGGACTCATGAGGTGTCCCTTTCTCTAGTCTTTGTCATGAAATATCCTGAGCTCTTGAACTCCCAGCAAAGACAGACAGATGGTATCTCTGTTTAACATCCCTCCCAAAAGGGCAGTGCATTCAATACTGCATCCCGACCACCAGGGAGTGCAGCATCAGCCCGGGCTAGGAGCCTGAGTCCCCGTGCGTGGGACTTGGCAGACAGGTTCTCCCATCCTTTAGCCCTGACGTCGAGGGGTGAGAGAGGAGTTCAGTTTCTACTGACCAGTCAGCCCTGGTCCGGTAGAGGCAGGTGTATTACCCACAGGGCCATGCGAACGGCTCCTTGAACTGCATGCCACAGCCAGAGATTTAAAGGGGCTGCTGTTCAGCCTCCTTTTTTAATGGCCACCCATAGAAACTGCACCTGTACTTCGGGCACCCTCGCCTGGAGATGCAAATCTTGTCATTTAGGCAGCTGAGCACCTGATTTCTCTCTGTGTGATCGTAGCTTTCACACGGCCCCCATCACTGCAGCATCAGGCACACTCAGGGATTGAACCATCTAAATGAAGGGTGCAAAGCCATGTGAGAGCCATTTTTGCAGGAGCAGAAAGGCAGGCAGCCCTGAGAAAGGCTAGTCCTCTCCAAGAGGCTCACACCCTTCCCTCTAGAGCTTTGTGTGGAATTTGTTATTAGGCAGGTGAATCTAACCCACAAAATAAAAGATCAAAGCCCCAATAAACTGTCAAGTCAGTATTTACAATGAGTCTCTCCCTCGCTTCCCTACCAGCACTGGCAGCAGTTTGCAACCAGCCTGAGCCTGTGGGACATGTTTGGAAGTTCAGAGGAAGTGAAAGAGCTGGAGGATCAGGGCTTGCTGCTTTTGGACAATAGGTAAGGGACGGACTGTGGCTGTGGGAAGGACCCTGTTCTCTGATGGGCGGGGTGACCCATGTCCTGCTCTTTTTCCAGGGGGCTCAGGTGCTCTTGGAAAGGTTTGGCGGTGCTGGACTCTCTCCTGCTGACCCTTCTCAACCAGCTCCAGCAGTCCTGGGCAGACAGAACAGCCCATGGGACCTGAAGCTAGACAGCTGTCAACCAGGAAGCAGCAGCCTTTCCCAGCAAACTCCAGCAGTCCTGGATGGACAGGGCAGACCTGAAAATGGACAGATCTTGCATCCAATCTGGAAAGCATTTCAGCAGGGGAGGCCGATCCTAAGTGTCCAAAGGAACAACTTGGCTCTTGGCTGGAATCAGTTTGGAGCTCTCAGTTTGCAAAATCCAGGACGAGGGCCGGATCCAGGCTTGGAGTAAATCGGTGGAATTTGCATCTGCTTATTGCAGAGAGGAAGCTGGTCTTTTTTTTTATGTGCACAATATTTGCTCAGTGGCTGCTGCAGAAAATAGGGTAAAAGCATTTTAGTTTTAGATTGACTGGAAAGATACACAATAGTGTGGGATTCAGTGACTTAAACTACTTCAGTGAGGAAAGTCAGTCTCTTCTCTGCAGTCAGCATGCGATACTATCTCCGTGCAGCAGAGGGAGATGAGTGAAGCAAAAATACTGCAATGTCAAACCCCGTGGAAGGGCGAGCAGATCATTTCCTGCCCGAGGCGCTGGACTGAACTCCCCACGGTCAGCGCGGGCGACCAGGACCGGCTAGAGCTACCTCTCATTCTGGCCGAGTTTTCGGAATCCCTCCGTCTCATGCCCACTAATAAAGCATGTGGGTGCGCCTTGCTCCCTGTCCCCCTGGCCTAGCTCTGTAGCTCTTTAGTAAGACGGACAGGTGAGCTAAGGGCTACCTTGCAAAGGCTGCTGGTTATTCTCTTTGCCTTTCCCTTGGACTCTGTAGAGTAGCTTGCTGGTCTCAGCAGCCGCCACTCAGTACAGAAGCAGGGCACCCCAAGTCTAACTCCGTCTTTCCCTTACTGTCCTGGATACCGGAGCCACAAGCAGAGGGGGTATCACAGAGATACACATCCCCCAATGCCAGAGAGCTGGGAAGGTGCAGATTATGCAGCCAAGAATAATACATTATTGAGCTCCATTTTCTACCAGGTGCATTAGCGCCTGGGGTATCAATTTACTTCTGGAGGGAATTCAGTGCTGCCGTGACAGCGCTGGGGAATGAAGTGCTTTTTGCCCACTGACAGTTACAGCATAGGCACTGGCAGGCCAAGGCTCTCCTACCCCATCCCGCTAACACGCCAAAGCCCTGACTTCGTGCTAAGAGGAGAGTTTGTCTTCAGTGGCCCTTTCACCCCTTGGCCTCACTGCTGAATGGAACGAAGGTTTAGAGACTTGTCTTTAGATGGCAATTCATATGACAGTAGCACCTAAAGGCCCCCATCAGGATCAAGGCCCCATTGTGCCAGGTGCTGTACATACACATAATACGAGACAGTGCCTGCCCTGAAGAGCTTACAGTCTAATCAGACCAGACAGACAAAAAGTGGGAGGGGAAACAGAGGTCACCCAGCAGGTCAGTGGCAGAGCCAGGAGTAGAACCTGAGTCTGCCGAGTCCTAGTCCAGTGCTCTATAGTCCAGGCTGCAGGACAGTGTCCAGCCCAGACATCACTTCCCTTTTAAACCAAAACAAATGCAGATATTACTGCACAGAAACTTATGCTTCATTGTGATCCTTGCATTCCCCCTGCGGAGGAGACACAGAGGTGAGTGCCACATATCTTGGATCAGATTCAGGCCCATTATATTATGCCTAGCTTTGGTGGAGAGCTGTGCAGCTATTGGACGTTCCTCTGGTCTCTGTCGCATGCAGAGTGAAGAGCTCGGGCACGCTTGCTGATCTAATCGGGTGTTGTGATTGCTGCATTCGTGAGTAAGAAGTTTTGTTTTTAATAAACCAGCCTGCAATAGTTTGGCTCTGACTTAGTCTGGTAATTGCCGTTTAGCTGTAAGATCAGTATTTGGATCCCGTGATAGATTACTCATACAGTTTTCAAAACATGGCGGCAGTTGTTCAAACAGAGAATCATCATTTTAAAATATTAACTTGATTTTATTTGCAATTTGTCATGAACTCCTGGAAGATGAAGAGGTCAGCAGAAAAGCAGATTACCTTGCAGACAAGAATCAAGACCAAACAAGGGTTCTCTGAGTGCTTTATAATGGAATCAATGCCATACTGGCTGGGCAGCAACTCTGGGGGCAAAAGCACCAGCCGTTCTGCAATGAGCAATAGCTCGTACATAGTCCTGGATCATAGAACCTGCTTTCGATAGAGAGGATGTGAAAGCTGAGAGGCTCAGGTTAAATGTGATCGTTCAGTGCCACCAGAGATAGGTAGAAGGGATCGTAGTTTTAACCTCTATTAGAAAGCCTATACAGCTTGAATTTACCGCCCCTTTCATTCTGCAGTGTAGGGCTATAGTCAGCCTTTGGAAGGAGAAGTCCTTGTGTGGCTGTGGAACATTTTGAATGACCTTCTGGCCCAAAGACAAGAATGCTACAGTGTCAACAAAAGTTTATGTTGTGTATTCAGCGATTCCAAAATCAGATTGAATCCTGGGGCTCTGCCCTAGATATGTGGTTGCATGAACTGTATTTAGATTTTTTATAGGTGTTATTAAAGATACTAAAGAAATTTAAGTCCAGAGTTTGCCTGACTTCTTCGTTGTTATAATCGATGGGGAAAATCTCTCTGCATCCATACAAGCTGAGGGCCTGTCCTGTGTCAGGGATTATGAGTAAGCCATGTGCCAGAACAGCTGTAATTATTTTGCATTGCAAATTCTAGGTCTATGTTTCAGATGTTTTTGTTTTGCCTTTTCCCATCTTCCACTGCTATTCTTAGCTCAGAGTGACTAAGGCTTTGGCTACACTGGACTTTCGTCGGTAAAACCTTTGTCGTTCAGGGGTGTGAAACAACACACACACCCCCCACCCCCCGCCAAACATCAAAAGTTTTACCGACGAAAAGCGCTGGTTTGAACAGCGCTTTGTCGGCAGGATTGCTCTCTGCCGACAAAGCTACGGCCGCTCATTGGGGGGTGGAAGTTTTTTGTTGGCGGGAGAGCTCTCTCCCGCCGCCAAACAGCAGCTACACTGCGCGCCTTTTAGCGGCACGGCTGTAGCAGCACAGCTGTGTTGCTAAAAGGTGCGTCGTGTAGACATAGCCTAGAAAGTAAAATTCTGAGTGATACTGCAGAAATAAGGAATTTATTATTATTTATTTGTTTTTATTACACAAGTGCTTAGAGGCATGCCTGGCATCAGAGCCCCATTATGCTTGATGCTGTCTAGACACAGAGTAAGAAATGGACCGTGCCTCAAAGAACTTACAAGCTAAATAGATGTGACAGATAAAGGGTGGGAGATAGGAAGTGAAATACACCGGACCCTCGCTAGAACGCGTGTCTGTATAGCATGAATTCGCATATAACGCGGTCGCGGCCATGGATCCCAAATTTAATTACTTTAATTGCAATTCATTTTAACGGGGTCCCCGCGTTAACGTGGTACCATGAATGGATCCCAAATCCCGCATTCTAGTGAGGGTCCGGTGTAATTAATAGGAAATTCCACTTGCTGCCATCTGTGGCTTTTGCTGAGGAGTCTCCTGCACATGTGAGTTAGGCAAAATTAAACTCTCTCCCCCATAAGAAATCTGCATGGCCTATTGGTCTTGTCAGATGGCCTCGCTTTGACTGATTTGGAAAACCAATGCAATTTTTCACATTTGCTGATCAGCTGGTGTATGGCACCTCTGAATGGATTCTGTAGGAGGCAAAAAGGTTTTTTTAAAGAACGATCAGTTGGCTAGTTAACATTTAGTTAACATTTAGCCCTACGATGGCGGTGGGATCCAGAGAAAATAGTGTTCTTCCTGGTGATTTCCAAGGCTGTTGATGTAATTGATTATGCTAATGAACAAATAAGGACATTACCAAAATCAGGCAAGCTCCCCTCCCCTCCATTGGGAGTATGGGTGGGAGAAATGGGAACAAAGTTTGCCAGATGCAACTGGACAAATATTGTGCATTAAGTTACACCTCCACCATCCTCTTGACTTTAATGGGCGTAAATGAATCCAGATGCATCCAAAATTGGTAGGGAAAGAAATGCTGAGCCTTTGAGAAGAAACTACACCTCTACCCCGATATAACGCTGTCCTCGGGAGCCAAAAAATCTTACCACGTTATAGGTGAAACCGCATTATATCGAACTTGCTTTGATCCACCGGAGTGCGCAGCTCCGCCCCCCCGGAGCACTGCTTTACCGCGTTATATCCGAATTTGTGTTATATTGGGTCGCGTTCTATCGGGGTAGAGGTGTATATGCAAAGGAGTACTAAAATCAGTACACCAATATTTGAACCGTGTCCCTTTGAGGAAAGCACACTGTATGGATTGCTATTATTGTTTTTGTGAAATCCATCATAGCCAATTTCAATATATTCACATTCAGATCTACTATACTATGGGCACAGAAAATTCCTGTTACCAATAACTATTCTACATCCACATTCAGGGCCTGATCCAAAGCCCGAAGAAGACAATAGAAAGACTCATCGATGTCAGTGGGTTGTAGATCAGGATTGAAAAGGGCAAGAGAGCCCTTTGTTGGCAGATGAGAAACAAAAGCATGCATTGAGTGATGCTGTATATACCATTGATTTGGAGTTATTCCTGATTTACACCACAGTAAGTGAGAGCAGACACTGCGGAAGAATAAACATCTGATGAGAAGGGACATAAATATGAAGACTAAATTCCAGCTCTTAAAAACTTACATTTGGTCTATGTTAAATTACAGCTGTGAAATATGGACATTCAAACAGCTGATAATAAAGAAACTACAATCCTTCACATTATGGTTATGGAATTCTGAAACTATCACAGATAGACTGTAACCAATGAAAAAGTATTGGAGATGACTGGAACTCCACAAACGCTAGTTAGAGATCTTATTAAAAGGAAGATTTGATTTGCAGAGCATATTTTAAGAGGTTCAAGTGGCAGTGCATGTTTATGGGCACTGGAAGGGAAAGTTGATGGCAGAACATGAGGCAGAAAAAGAAGATTTTGGGTGGTGAGATGATATCCTGGGTGGATTAAAAGGACTGCTCATCCACAAAGAGGTTAGAAGAGGACCATACAGAACGGACTACCATTGTTGCAAACCTCCAGTAATGGAGATGGCACAGAAGAAGAAGTTGACATGAGGGCACATTATTTTTAAAGTCTTTTAATATAATTCACAATCAGTCAAACATGTTTCAGATCATTACAGTTGTTGTTATGGGAGGCGGCGTCATCTGCTTGACAGAGAAGGAAACTGGAAACCAAGAGAGCTGGGTTCTGTTGCAGGTGCTGTCACTGATGCATTGCTTGACCTTGAGTAAGACACTTAACCATGGTGTGCCTCAGTTTTACCAGCTGTACAATGGGGATAATACCCAAAGTGCTTTGAGATCCCCAACTGACAGGTGCAGTGGAAGCACATAGCATTAGCACAGTCTCACCAAGGAAGGGGAAATAAGACACCTGAAAGGAATGCAGTGAGGTGATGAGGTGCAAGGGCCCAATTATTCCTCATTGACACCTTGATTGTCAATTAGTGGCCTAACAGGTTGAACTAGTAATTTCACCCACTTCCACTGATTAGAATAAATCCCCACTGTTGCTTCCTGAAGTGAGGAGGAGTTTGCCACTCAGGTGAAATACATGCATAAGCCTTCCCTGAGTCAGTCTCACTGAGCCTAAGAAGCAATGACTCATGCTAACAGTCTCTGACACGTTCCCCTCATTATCAGCCTGCTGGATGCCATTTGGTCTTTGATTTAGGCAAAGGGGCCAGTTACCTATGCGCTGCTCTGTGAAGTGGTAAGGAATGCGCTTGGGGCTGGCAAGCTTCCATCAGTGCTGATAAGAGCAGTCCTTGAATTTGTCCTTCAGTATGTGCTCTGTGTGGTTCTAGGAACAACCAAGGTGACAGTAGAGGGTGACGTATGCCGGAATTAAAGGGTGGGTGCTTTGCTAGAAAGAGTAAAAAACCCGAGTCTGTCAGCCCCAACTCTTTTTGAGGGAGAGAGTGTCAGAGGAAGTGGTTTCCCAACCCACAGTGCATATCTGGGACTAAGATAAGGCCACCCAAACTCATGTCACCCAAGGCCTTCAAACGCTACATAAACCCAGGTGCCTTGAGCTTTTCTAGCCTGAGCCAGTACAAGGTTTCTAAGGTAAATATAGGGGGACTTGCTTCTGTTTCCCTAATATAAATCTTCCCTTTCCCTTTTTAGCCTAATCCAGGAAATTTCCATTTGGGTTAGTTGCTGAAGATTTGTTACTGGACATTTTTGAAGCAGGAACATGGACTCTCCCTCAGCCTGGGCTACAAAGAAATAGTTTTGCAGTGCTCTGTGCCTTT